AGGCCTGCTCCTGCTCACCAATACTCACAATTCAATTCCCTACAGACTCTATATGAGAATCTCTGAACTAAGGACTCTCCTTTGCACCAAGGATCTCTGATAGATAAGCCAGAGCCCACCCAAATGCAAGAGTGTGAGTTAGTGATTGGTCTCTTGGATGAGGATGCGTATCTGTACTGAAACCAAGCCACCCATAAATAGTCTTTAGATCTAATGAAATTCCAGGCCTGTTTACGAGCTAAAACTGAATTAATATGGGCTACCCATCTAATGCTTAAACAACCCTCCTCCTTTGGAGTAGTGATAGTATCCCAATTTAGGTGGTGAAGCTTTCTGGCATGTTCAGAAGTTCCCCAAATGAAGTTCCTCATTTTTCAGACTTGGCCTTAGTATCTCATGAAGCATAAGGTCTAAGGTTCGAGCATTTGGGTAAAACAATTTTCGGGGAAGGGAATGTGTGAGTATCAACAAAGGGAAATCCTTTCCATTTAACAAATCACTGAAGAAGGCAAGTTAAACACTGAACTCCAGTAGTAGGAATAGGAAGTTAAAAATGACCTGACCAATTCCAAAATTTCAATTTTGCAGTGACTTTAGCTTTAATTAGTAATAACTTATACGGGTACTAATTATAGAATTTGTCATCTAGCAAGTAACAAATTAAAAATATTAACATATATAATAATATTGTTGACAAATGAATAATTGTCAATCGATAATTAATTAATTGTTAGATGCATGTCCACAGTCCTTGATCTCCAATGAACTATACTCCCTCCGGATCTTCACTCCTAAGTCCGGTTTGAAAACCAAGAAGGAGTGAAAAGCATGGGCTTCAGATCTACTTTTGAATTGTGCATAGGAATCTAAGATATTGATAATATATATCTCTCTTTCAATTAATAAATCTCCTCGATTGATAAAATTGTATCTTGAAACAATGTCACAACCTACCTTTATGTAGGGTTGAGTTCCAAATAATTACATCTCCTTTTTAACATACAAATTCACCTTTTTAATCTACCACTCGCATTCCAAGTTTAGGTTGAGATTTATCATTATCCAAGTCTTTCAATAGATTTAGATTTTCTAAAGGCCCATTAACTCCTCTATTAAATACCTTCTATTAATTATTTCTTATTCTTTCACAAAAAAAATTAATAATTGCACTCAAAACATATAATTATTATTAATTATAAACTAGCTCCAATAATTACTTAATACCATAAATTGACTCCCCTCCACAATAATTAGTTATTTAAATAAATAATATTATCAAACCAATAGACTAATTAATCTCTACTTAGTCACTTAGATTTACCTATTTGATTACATATATTTACTAAATATTTTTAAACAAAAACATAATATTAAGTATTAACTGGTCCGATTTTTGCAATCAAATCAACCTAATCAAATACGGATCACTCCAAGAATATCAAAATAAATAATTAATATAAGCCCCATCATATGACAAATAAACTCCTCTGCCAAAAAAAAAAGGGAAATTTCCAAATATCAACCCAAGGATGATGACAATAATTTATAAGGCTATTCTTGCAATGGGTAGCTGAGAAACTGGTTAAATAGACAAGCCTTTTTAACTTTTAGTATAATAGTACCCAAAAAAAAAAAATCCTTGTGAAAAACCTAAATAGAGTGCCTGCACTTAGGGCTACAAGTTGGGCTAGCCCAATCCAATACAGTTCCAACCCAACCTTAACCTGAAATCGGGTTAGGTTGGGCCAGTTTGAATTCTATTCCAAATGGGTTATATCCATAACCTAATTCGAGTATTTTGGACTGGTTTCACCGGTCTTTCTTTTTTTTCTTTTTTTCTTACAATTATGTAAATTACATTTTCCTTAAGAAATTTTTATTTTTAATTCAATAATACATGCCATTTTTTCTTTTAATAAAAGGCAAATTTTTCAAAACCCCCAAAACTATTAAAAAATGATCATAAAACTCCAACCTGTTTTAAAAACCCCCAACAATATAGCAACTTCTCATTTTACCTCAACTCCGGTAATTGGCCCCATTAACTCAGCGCATGGTTAACAAATGCTTTGACAAATTGACTTTTGTGACGAAAATACCCTGCTGTCACATGTGCCAAAGAAGTGATGTGTATTTAAATGTTTTATACCCAAAATAAGCCCAAGCTTGTAATAGTAAAAACCCACAAAAATTACTTCACGTTTTACTCATCTTCTCTCCCTCCTCCATGCGCGTTGCAGGAAACCGTAGAAGCCGCCCGAGCCGCCGTGTTTCCTCCATTATAGGAACCAGAGGAGTGCTAGGAAGTAACGTAGAGAGTAATAAAGAGTACAAAATTTTGATCCAAGTACCAGAGGAGTGCCAGAAAGTATGACATCTGCCATCCATGTTCACAAAATATGCTTTTAAAGGAAAAGGAAAATTGAGAAGGAAAAGTATTCACCTTTTTTATGTTCAGTAGAGGGACGAAAGAGTAGCGTTTTGTTGGAGAGTTTAATATCATATGCAGCTTCCCTCGATGTGAGAACTTTGTTTTTTTTTTTTTTTCTTCCCTGAGTTATGATAAAACAGATTCAGAAAATCAAAAAGGAAAGCCAACATACACAATTGAAAATTTATATATATGCCAGAAGAGAAGCAGTTTGATCATGACCATATGCAGTACATCATATGAATGCAATAGGAAGGGATCCAGAAACATCCAAACCAAAGAGATTCATTGGCAAAACAATTGATTTAAGGGGCAAGATTTTGAGCTAATACTTTTTGGAGCTTGTAGAAGAGGCTACCCTGCACAGAAAATCTCCTCTGATTGTGGTAGCCAGGCCATGGTTTCCATTAGACAAAACTCATCAACTGAGGGAAAATTAGAATTTAATGACCAAAATTAAACAATATTCCGATCATCTTTCTCTCTGTTTCTCCACAGACACGAGCAAAGACCACAACTTTCTACCTTTCTCGCCGTTTGCTGTTCTGAACAGATCTGCCGGTTTTATACTTACCGATAGTTTATTCCGATCAACTTCGCCGGGGTTCTCTCTGTTCCTCCACAGACTTGAGCAAAGATCACAACTTTCTACCTATCCCGCCGTTTCAATTGTGTTCTACCTGTCTCGCCGTTTCAAATGTGTTCTGATCAGATCTGCCGGTGCCGGTTTTTTATACATACCGATTGTCTATTCCGATAAGATTCGCTGACGGTGTCTCTGTTTCTCCACAGACGCGAGCAAAGACGACAGCTTTCTACCTGCCTGGTGTTCTGATCAGATCTGCTTCCGATCGTCTTGGCCGTCGTTGTCTCTGTTTGATGAGGTTTGCATCATCAACCGCTACTAATAGGCTAAGTCTTATCTTAATTATTCAAATACAAATAATTATTTACTGTGTTGATATTTTAAATAAATTTATTTTTATTTTTAGGTTGTCTGTGTTCTATTAGGATTTGTTATTTTGCCTATAGAAGTGTTTAATTAGAACCATCCAAAGAAAGGAACAAGTCTGAAGTGAATTCAACTTTGTTGATGGGTTTTAGGATTAAAAGGTGCCAGAATGCACAGAGACGATCTGTTGCTGCTGAAATCATTGGCAGTAACGAGGACCTGGTGGTGGAGACCCTTGTGCTTCTGCCGCTGAAATCTGTGGTTCTATTCAAGTCCGTCTCGAAAACGTGGAACAATCCTACTAGTCCGGTTCCCTCTTGAAACAACAATGGAGCTGCCATACACAGTGGTTGTTAGGTTTTTGCTGCCCGGGCAGTGGTTGTTAGGCACAGTGACGGTGGTGGGTATGCAATCAGTAAAGGATAATATTGTAATTTTAAACATATAATTTTTTGATTTTTTAAATAAAAAGAAATATAATAAGAGTAATTTAATCCTTCCCTAACGGCCAATAGTCAGGGTTATATAATGCTGAGGGTTTTTAAAACTGATTGAAGTTTTATAATCATTTTTTTTTTTAGGAGTTTTGAGAAATTTACCCTTTAATAAATACCAAGAACTAAGAAGTGCAAATGTTGGGTTTTAACTCATATTGTCTCAGCCCAATATTTCACTGACGCATCAGTCGCGAGAACTTTGAACTCTTGAAGGCTAATTTTTTACTGCAACATGGAACTGTTGATGAATTTGAAATTATTATTAATTGTGGAAATAATGTTTATATATATTTTTCCAAAATCCTTATTCATCATGGAATCAAAACCTTTATCGTGTACAGACACCAGAATATAAACTAATAAATTTTTTTCTTCTTTACTGATAAAAATATTTTTTTTCTCCCTTTTCTGTCCTCTCTTCTCTCTCTTCTCTTTTTGTCTCCATTAATTTTCAGAACAATCGTAGTTTTTCCTGAGTTATCAAGACCCCTGCAACAACAATAATTATTCTTCATAACATATGCACACACACACACATATCTACGTGTGTGAAAATTTAAGGTAGAGATAATAGGAATACATACACCATAAGAATTCGCATTTCTTTCTCTTTCCGCTTGATTTTCCGGACGATACTTAGAAGCCCCATCAATGCTATAAATCACGGGATCAACTGAAAATAGGAACAGATCGATGATTACTTAACTATTGGGAAGAAATAGTGAAACCAATTAGGTTAGTTTTGCCTGAAAATATCGCAAAATCAATGATCTTTTGAGATTAAAAAAAATGAAGGGAAAAAGAAAAGAAGAGAGAGAAAGAGAAAGAAGAGAGAGGAGAGAGAAGGGAGACAAACTTAAGTTTTTTTTTTATTATTTTGGATTTTGAGTTGGGTTGGATTCGGATTGAGCCCGAGCCGAATCTGTACATGCCTGAATTTTGAAAAAACCCAACCCAATTTAAGCCTGATTTATGAATTTAAAGGCCCAAATTTGAAATTTTCTGGGCTAAGTTAACTCATCCAAGTTACACCCCTACCTGCACTGGCACCAACCGTAAAAGATCCAATTATTTGTAATGTTTTTGCACTAACATTTCATCCAGAATTTAACCAAAAATGTCAAAGAACAAATTGAAATATCCAATACCAGTATAATAAGTTACAACGCAGCATAAGTCCAACATCATAAGAGCAATTCATTCATAAGTCGGTGACTATACCGCGAGAAGATGTTGATGCAATAACTTTTTTGCCATTCATGTCTGTAGTACAAAACTAGGGTTGTGGTATTAATACCACTAATGAAGATTAAATGAAGAAAAGAGAAACTGGGAATTCCCAGCTACTGAAACCTACTCATTTCCAAAATTGGAATCCTCGGCGTTCTAAACTGTTGTGACTAACACCCAATGGTACAAAGAGCACCTAATTATTCTTCCCTTTTCCGTAAAGAGTTACAAAACTACAAGCTTGCATTTCGAAAGAAGGCCCCAGAGTCCAGATCCTAAACTTCACCTTCTGCTAGGTTATTAAGCAGCCAAGTGAGCAATCATCTCGTCAAGCATTGGACAACATACTCCCGTACCACCTGGTCCTTGGCAAGCCCGATCACAGAACCTTATCAGCCTTCCCGTAATACCTGTTTATGAATGGAGACTGCAAGGCAAAAAAAAAAAAAAAAAGGGTCAAGATATTTGTACAGTTGCTATATACATTCCAAGGCGATCAACAAAAAAAATTGCATTATGCTCCATTTGGGGGCACTTATATATATATATATATATATATATAATGCTCCATTTGATGGCTGAGGAGATAACTTCCTCGATCAAAAACTTTGAATCCATTAACCAACAATAATAAGAAAGACTTCCAGTTTTGATAACCAAATGGAGAGCATGCTCCAAGCTATGTGGCATAAAAAAAGATAAGGGATACAGACACAACAATACAACAAGTCTTAATGGATACAATAAAGCTAGGAAAAGGATGTAACAATATATTAAAGTAGATATGTATAGAAATTAATATACATATATGTATCTATGTATAAATTTAATTTAAAAAATATTTGTTTATCATCTTGTATGTATCTATAGAAGAGTATCAGATACATGTTCAAAATAAATAAATAAATAATCAAATTATATCATATTTAGAATGTATCAAACACGTATCCGCAAGTATCCAAGTGCCTATATCCTTTACAGAGACGATATTAGTTTCACAGCTTCAAAGTGCCTAAAATACACACACTTCTAGTTCTGCTCAACGTTTAATCATGGAGGCATTGAAACACCAAAAATAAAAGATGAAAGTCTTGTTCGAAAGAGCAACCATCATTGAGTCAACAATCAGAGATTATCTCACATGAAACACTTCTGGGTTGAGAAAGAAAGAAACCAAAAAAAAAAAAAACAAGGGTAACTGAACTAAATGAGTCTCAAATCTTAATGAGATCAAAACCAATCTCCCACATCCGGTTACATTCTAATGCAAAACCAAAGGGAATGCAACATGTGCTGGTCTTTTATATAGAATCAGGCACTATCCACTCCAATAAAATTTCTCTTTAGTTTGTTTTATTCTATAGCAAGAAGATGCTGGTCCATACCAGACAGCAGCAGATGATACAAATAAAACTATACACAAGATTTTTGGTAGCAAATTACTGATGCAATTTCCATGACCAATACAAAATGACCAATTTATAAAAATTCAAGCAACATAAAATTTTGAAGATACAGCAAACATGTAACTCAGATGATAAAAATAAATAATAAAAATAACTTATTGATAGATTAAAAAAACTATGGTCTTCAGTCTCCCCTTCACCTCATTTTTGTATTGTTAACACACAATTTTCCCTACCTATAAAAAAAATTGATATGTACAGATAGTAATTGTATTTGAAGCAAAACTCTTCTATTTACATACCTAAGAAATGAAATATCGGAAATTGGCTAATTCATTCCATACCAAGAATTAAACCGATAAAATGAGCACTCTTTTTTAAGAAAAAGAAAGAACAAAATCTGCTTTACCTCCACTGTACAGACCTCGATACTTTCCCCCCAAAAAGAAAGTCACATCTCTTGGTATGTAAATGCACCTAAAAAAACCATTCCGAAAAAGAAAAAAAAATGCACCTAAAAAGGCACTTTTTGAAATATTAAAATATAATGCCACTTGGCTTTTAAGTGGTAGATGGTCTATAAAGTATAAACATGAAGCTTTGTTGGAAACAGTATAGGACGACCTGGACTTCAATAAAGAATTCAGCATTCCATAAGTGGTATCAGCAAACAGAACACCAGTTTTATAATGATATGGACCAAAATTATTTTTATATGCAGATCAACCGAAATATTCTGACCTGACCAGGTTATAGCTTTTTGAAACATGTTTTTTTATAAAATGAGGCCAGATGGCCTAGTGAATTAATGAATTCAGCTTCATACTCCATAAAACGATTTGACACCGCATATAGATGACCAGAAAAACAAAATTAATAATGCAGCTGAAAAAGTTACTTAATATACAACAGAATTTTATTTAATGGGGAAAAAAAATCATACAACAGAATATTAGCTTGGAATTATATCATCCTAATAGGATTTTGATCATTCATCCAAGAAATAACAAGTATCCAAAAGCTAAGCTCTTGCATCAAGCTTGCTTTCAGCAACAAAAGTGTTGCAAAAGAATTCAATTGTTGCATGCCAAAGGAAACAATAGAGAGGTGATAATTAAGACTTACCTTGACATTGGACACGTCAGGGGTATCAGGTGTTGGAACAGGATAGAATTTGTAAAACTTTATATTCTCTAACGCAACCTTTGAATTCTCATCCATTGCGTCTCTAGCTTTTTTCCGGGCTTCTCTTGCCTATAAGAAAATGAATTTCACGGTGCTCAATAATCATAAAAGCTAAATTCCACCAGAGGTACTGGCCACAACGAGAGCCTGTCAACAAGATACCTCACGGTTAGCTTTTTTCCCTTCTCGAACCTTCTCCTTAACAAAATCCTGATAAAGGGCAAAAAGCAAAAATAAAAATAAATGTTCAGAAACATGGACAATACACAAGTTAACTGTACTAACTCAGTAAAATTTACCTTGAAAGCGTCCTTTTGATCTTCAGACAACTCCTCCTCCTCAACAAGTTTATCAGTGAACTCCTAAAGATAGATAACTTAATTTAGTACAAGAGTGGGGAGGAGTCCTTTTTCAGTGTGGTTATTCCACATTCAGAATTTAGTGTATATGCTTACATAATCAAATATTTTGGAGTGTAAAAGCAATAAAATGATTGCAGAATACAGCAGATAAGCCATAGCATCAGATGGCGAAGGGAAACCCTAAGCTAAACATAGTGATATGGTATGATTGTAGCTACAACCAAACCAGCCTTTGTGGATGGTCAAGATCTTACTAAGCTCATCAAATCTGCAGTAATAATAAAGTTTGGGCATGTTGATAATCAGCCTTTGCCATTTCAATTTTGTTGACTGGGACAATGTATACTGAAATGCAAACATTTAATAAAGGTGTGTCATACCTCAAGCTCATCAAGTTCCCAATCGAACTCACAGAAAACCTGAAAAATCACAAGCAAAAGGAAAGTCATTATATAAAAAAAGGGTAAGCACAACTGCCATATTCAACCCTATTTGAGGCGTTTCACAATATGTTATATACTTGTGTACAAATGTAATTTCAATCCAATGAATCCTTCTCCAACTTTAAGCTAATGACTACAAAAATCTTAACCAAACATTCTGCACAAGCTAGCCCCACATTCCTTGTAAAATAGGACATCAAATCTACCTCACTACCCACGAAAAAAAAAAAAAAAGAGATCTTACTGGTGGTTCTGCTGGAAATAAGATTTGTACAATGGTGCTCTGTTCGGATTCATCTTCCTGAAGGGGATGGTAGAAATCTGTCAAAGGATGAACATTTTGTAAGAGAACACTGAACACTAGTGACAACAAAATTCGTAAAAAGGAACTTGCCTGTTTATATGTTTTCAGTAAATAAATAAAAATAAGAAGAATAAGAAAGCTAGTGTGGCATTAAAAATCCAAACCCACCAACGGGCTAGTGGCCTAGCAGCATCAGACCCTTACTTCCCAAAGGGAGGTCAAGGGTTCAAGCATCGGTGGAGGCATGTGTCTGTGAGTACCAACTAAAAAAAAAAAAATCCAAACCCTGTAAATTGGGGAATAAATCAACTTACAAGGTAAGCAGTATTCAAATCTCTTCACACGCTCTATCTTCAAATGTTTTAATCCAGCCCTGCAAAAAACAATTTCATAGAGATGAACAACCATATAAGTCATCAACTTCTGTTTCACTCCACACAAACATATGGTAACCAAACCCCAATCTGTATTAGCAGTTCAAAAAGGAAACAGAAATAGAACTCCTAAAAGAAAATCATTGAGGAAGAAGGGAAACAAAATTGCATAGAAATTTAGGTGAGGTCAAAATAATGCATAATAATGCCATGGAGAAATGATATAACTTGTGGAATCAGAGTTCTAAGTTGAACAATGAAAGCTAAAGCTTGTGATGGACAGGGTCATCTCCTCAAAATTTGTTTTGTGCATATGCTCTTTTATCCTAACTCAATATGCAAGCTAAAGTAGACACCAAGAGCATGGTTTACAAAGGTGTGGTAGAACAGTTGTTTGTTTGTCTTGCGGCAAAGATTGAGCGTAGCCTAGAGTGAACCCATCGCTCTAGGAAAAGAAGGGGGAAGGATGCCAGGTAGAATGCTCATACCGTGGCATCAAAGAGGCCAGGCAAGACTGATTTCAGTTCAAGTTCTCATTAAAATCTGCATAGTTAACAGATTCTTTTTATTTATTTATTTCTATTGTTTTTGTAAATGAATCCTATATGATCAAATTCAGAATTAATGTTTACAGACTGTTAATTTTATTTAACATAATCATTTCCTACCATCAAAGAAGTTATAGCACGTTCTGTGAGATATATGAATTTAATTATCATAGGAGCAAAAACAGTTAGTGTACCACATTCCTATTATTAAAATGTTATCCATGCTAGCCTTCCATATAACACTACAATTTTAGTCACGAATGGTAAACAAAGGATTTAATTTGATAGAACGTTTTGATTAATCTATTTTGGCCAACAAAGAAGGTAATACCTTTTTGGCCACTTCTCAAAAGTATGTTGTTTGTGGGTTCTTGAGTGTGATGGGGAGATAAAGAAGGTATCACAAACAACTAGGAAAACAATTATGTGTGATAGTTAGGATGGAGATCAAAGTGACTCAACAGAGTTACAAATCACTAAAAACTGCAGGGATCGTCTATAAAGATCAATTAGTTAATCTGTCATCGCGAAGAATCAAATACATGTGTATCTCCAAAGCCGCCGTGGAACAAGCTTGCCTCACAAGTCTACCGTGGTGCAATAGGATATCTCCATGTGTCAAAAGGGATGATCCCCAGAGCAATAGTTTCAAGTAGTCAATGTGGCCAATCTGCCTAATTGTCATGTCATCATGACATATCATTGGAGTTGAGTAGTCCCTCTGTCTCTCTTAGAGTCAAGTCGAAGTGTATTAAGACCTCAGATGATCACTTCAGCAATCTTAAATCTCAACCACTGAGCCCGAACCCTTTAGTATCCAAGTAAATTGTTCCGTATCTGTGTATCTCACAATGGAATATGAAAAGGCAACCACATGCCATAGGGCTATGCCATATCCACATATTCCAAAGTGGACTGTAAGAAGTCAACTAGATATCGAGCAACATACACCCCAGTAATCTTTCACCCAACTTCGGCTGTTATGCATATACATCGAGATGTTTTCCGTAGCTTAAAAGTTCCAGTGATCAATGACAGGGCCCATCTGTGGAGAAGCACTCACAATATAAAAACCGACTATGAGTTTTATGTAGAAGGAAGAGGCCTTAATGCCAAGTATAATTAGGCCCCCATTGGATATAATGTGCATGCAGAAAGATGAAAGCCAGTATTTTTTGTATCAAGATCCATATAGGAATATTAAATGTCTCCTCAAGGAGGTGGCTTCAATCTGAGCAGCTTCAAAACAGTGACTTTGGTGATCATGACTCAAAATCAACAAGTGTGAACAATCATTTTAACTAAGCTGACTCGAAATCAACAAGCGTACACAATCATTTTAACTAAGCTGCAACTCTATAATTCAATTACTACCGATCCTTAAATATAATACTAGTAATATACATAAATAAAACCTTGAAGCTTTGGGACTGAAGGGCTAGTCTTATACCTACCAACATTCAAGGCAAGAAACATCAAGAATGCAAGTATACTAATATGGCATTTTTATCCAATAGTAGTTTGTCAGTTATTCATATGCCATGTGTACTACAGGTTTCATACACCCACATTGTTTTCTTATCAGCTAAGTAGAGGCAACAATATCATCAATCAAAGCTTGTTTTTTTTAATTTATTCTCTTCTTTTTTTCATTTAAAAAGCACTTGAAAGGTGTTCAAGTACAACAAAGTAATTTGGTGTTCAACAACACATTTCTATATAAACAAACAATGCTGCCTTACAATGAGTGGTAAATTGCTAATTAATTTTTGAAGAAAAAAAAAATTTGCTAAATACAACAATAAAATTTAATCTTTTTGGTGTTCCCGGGCATACATCTTAACACTAATTCTAAACCTTGCATAACCTTGAAAATGTTAACATAAAATCATTTGCAACTTGGCTAATCTTTCAATATTCATTTATAATATCCATAGTTGAAAGAAAAAGAGACAGACGAAGCAAGAGATCTGGGGTTGATAGTTCAATAGATATGCTCTGATACCAATTGACGGTGCACTAGACTGTTACCCAAGACTCTGATACATCAGAGTGTAAGGAGTGAATTAGATCTCATGGATATTTATTTGCAACTAATTAACTTTTTGACCGTTCATTCATGTTTAAAATTCAGTTAATTAATTGATTACATGTCTCAACTCCAATCATAAAAAAATATAAAGCAATAAATAAAAGAAAGTTAAGACACTACATTTCACGTGAAAAATCTTAAAAGGGAAAACCCAATCAAACCAAAATCCACTATGTGAGAAAGAGACTATGACCTAGGTTGACAAAATCTACCCCAAGAATCTCTTAGCTACCTCCTTCTGCTCGTCAACAACATCCACTCCTCACGAATCTACTTCTCCAGTGATTTTGATCTCAACCACTAGTCCGTCCAGATTCAATTTGTTCTTAATGAACAACTCAGTTGATGCTCAAATAAATATTCTATATTCAGCTCCCTGCTTTAATTATCGCAATTACATATAAATTGGTAATCAATGAAGAACCCTAGATTGATTCTCAAAATTTTCTCTCTTTAAAAATATAAATTCTCTTAATAATAGGTAAGGAATTGAAAAGTCCCGCAAGACATACCCTGTACTGACTATAACCTCATATTGATAGACACTCATTGGACAAGCATCAATCGGTCAAGCTTTTTGATTTCAAAACATTTTTCTTCCTAAATCTCGAAGGACTGACCATTCATATGATGTTCACTGTTTTGTAAAAATTTCTGCTTTAAAATTGTTTTCCCAAAATCGTAATTTCAATAAATAGGATTAAAACAATATTTTTTAGCCTATTAAATATCAAACTTAGGCCATAGTAGGCCTTTGTGGTCTTAACTTAAATTAACCCAGATATGTGATTGATTCTAGGGAGATTTTTGGCATGTTCTACGTTAAGCTACATCTCCATCATATCCCATGGTTGTAGACAAATGTCTCAACGCTTTTGAGAAACACTACAACCCAAGTTTTGAGTAGGAATTTGCCAACACATGACTCATATAACTAGTAAGGGGCTATAAAATCCAATAGCGTCAAATGAGTATTCTTGTGCCATGTCCCATGAGCACACAGGTCCACGCATTTGAAACTCCCCAATTTTACCAAAATAGCATGAATGGTTGATTTCCATACCATATGCTACTTCCTAGCTTAACTTTTAACTCATCACCCAAAACACAACCATACAAAGTACAAACAGCAACAACAAAAAAACATCAAGTCACCCTAAAACAAATGCTAACATTTCCATTACCAAAATAAAATAAATGAACTAAGCACACACAAGCTACACAAAAGGCATGCAAGTAATTTTGAACTGCATCAATATATTGTCCCTAACTTTGCAAAGAACAAATAAAATGATCCTATCCCATTGGCATTGATCAAGTTGTCTACCATTAAATTTTATATCACCAGAAACACTAAATTATATAGAAATCTAGAAAGATCTAAATCTCATCATCATCATCATCATATCCCTTGCCTTAATCTCATGTGAATAGGGTCGGTCACATGGATTCTCTTTTCCCATTTTTTTCTATTACCAATCATATCTTCTATACCATTTGAACTTTTTTAAATCATTTTAAATAACTTCATCCCATATTAATTTTGGTCACCCTCTATACAAATTAATCTTCCTCTACTTAGTAAGCTCCAAATCTCCTTAGTAAAAACATATTACATACATGGAAGTATATATATCCTTCAACAACAACAACAAAAAATTGAATATAGTTACAAAAAGCAACAGAAATGGGAAATGGGAACAAAGGAACATTTTACTTTAGCACCTCAGTTTCTTGTAAACCAAAACTGAATACAGTCAGTTGAGGTGATTAGCCTACAGTATACTAGGATTTTTAGAACCTACTAAAAAAGTTCGATTTTAAGCATCAATTTTACATTGGATTGGGTAAATGACAGGTTGAATTGGACTTTTTGAGTCTTTAACACTCAAGTTACTAACAGATGTGATTTTGACCAAGCGTTAAATGCAAATACGTGTTAAATTTTGATGATGGCTCTCAACTCTTATAACATAACTACAAATTGTTACACCACCAAGTAGCAAAAGAGCTTAAAGGCCAACTAAGAAAGCTATTTAGTTGATGCAAGGGGAGTGGTATGTCCAGCTCCCAAAGGGGAGGTTGAGCAATCAAAAGCTATCAAAGACTCAATAAGCCACCAACGGGTCAGTGGCCTAGCGGCAAGGGTTCAAGTCTCAGAAGAGACAAGTGTGTGTGAGTACCAACTAGGAAAAAAAAAAAAAAAAAGACTCAATAAGCCAATTTCAAATCTAATGTGAAAAAAACAGTTGGTTGATTCAATTCTGTAAGGACAGTGAGAGGGAGAGAGAGAGAGCAACTAAACCTTCTTTGCGTGCAGCTCAAAATAAAAATTTGGGATTTAAGTCTTTCAACTTGAGCATCCCTGTAGAACAATGTGGTTATGAAACGGCATCAGTTGTTTGACAGAAAATTTCAGAGTGGCATGCAAAATCAGTTCAAAAATAAAGAATGGAGTATTAAGTGGAGACCAATACCTATTTTCCAATGGAATGTATGGAACCCAGTCCATTTTCATCTGCTTCATTGGCACAATTTCCTCAGCCTCCCTCTGTACTGAGTTGATTCCAATCCTATCAGACGGTGGAACAGGAGATACAACCTGTTCAACAAGAAGAAATACAGAAGAATAAGAAAACAGACTGGCAGATGCAGGCAACAAAAGCATGGTGTGTGCATTTAAATATGTATATACGATAAATACGAACATTAATAGAGAAGTTATAATTCCTACATCTGTTTGGTCATGGTCCAAACAATATAATAAGGTACATTTCCCCCTGTCCCGCCACGGCATAGTGTCTAGTGAGAAAGAACTCGAGATAGACCTAACCTTTGATATTTCACAAAGTGGCCAATCTGAGACTCAAATTTGTGCCAATGACACTGATGCTCAAGTGTTAATCATTGAACCAAGCAATCGCCCTCTCATGGTTCAAACAGAATGAAAGACTAAAATTATCTTATGTTCATTTTAGTAGTTCTCAAAATCTAGCAATCCTAACATAAAGGACCGTAACAAAAATAAAATAAAAATAAAATTATCAAATCTCAAGTTCAATTCAGATCGCCTACATCAGAAAAATTATACAATTTTCCTTAACCCGTTTACTAAATGAGATATAGTTTACTTACAGCAACAACAACAGGTATGCAGGTTACTTTTCCTCCACCCCCAAAAAATACCAATTGAGCTGCATGAACAAAAAAATAAATGTTAAGTAAGAAAAATGGAGGAGAAAGAACATGGCATACAATAATAATAGTAATAATTATTTTAGAAATGAAACATCAAAATGGCATCAAATGCATTTGCAAAGTATACAGGAACAATAGTAGTAATAGTTAATGTTACGACGTAAAATAACTCATACAGAACCAAATACTAATCCAATAACATGCTAGTATCACTTCGTTTGCCGGACCTAAACAGTGTGTAAAGTTAAGTACAGCCAAAAAGGTAGACTTTCATTTGTGGACAACAAACGTAAGCATACTCCTTACAACAAGAAAAGTAACAAGCTCAAGTTTCATTTGCCACTTACGCTCGGTACAGCCGAAAAGGTAGACTGTTTTACCATATAGTTCTCCACCCTCTTCGAATGCTTTCTGGCCACAATGCAATAAGCAATTTTAGCACTGAAAATTTGAGTAAGCACTTCTCTTTTCTCACTTCTATACTTATATTTCAATGAAAAGTAAATTATCAACCAGTATAAAAAGAAAAGTGCAACAGCCATCAAGCAACTCACTTCAAGATTTGAGAAATTCCACTTGTACTGATAAACCGTATCCAACTGATCCCACTGACATCAAAATATCATAATTTATTAGCAACAAAATAGCATATGAAACAATTTTGGCAACTAAAAATGAGGGAAAAGAGCGAAACTAAAAATGAGGGAAAAGAAAACAGTATTAGAACCAGACCTCTGTCCCAACAGGGAAAACCTTTTGCCATAAGTCTTCCTATAAAACATATCACCACAATTAAAATGAGGGAAAAGAAAACAGTATCAGAACCAGAGCAAAGTTTTCTTGTATTTCTTAGAATAAAATAAGAACAACAATTTTCATAACTATATTTGCAGCCTCACACAAATGAATAAAAATATAACTGATAAATTAAGATACAAGAAGGCAGGAGAAAAAAACTACAATATGGCTTTCTTAAAGTAATTTTAGAAACTATCAAAGCATAAAACTAAGATTCATTACATTTTAATTCAATAAATTTTCTCTGCAAACAACATATTTACATTGTACTCTTAGTCTTTTCTATGGAAAAAAAAAAAAAAAAAAAACAGATAAAATTTAAGATCTATAATTAAAAGTCGGCACTAAATCCTAACTAATACAGCTATTTGGCTCAATTCAAGTAACACTTTAGAATTCAGAAACTAAAGCAACATGTATATATTATCTAATGTAGTTTATATATTCTTAGGATTTTCTTAGTAACCAAACATAGGGTCAAAAGAAAACACTGTACAATTCAAAATTGCATATAACAAAATACACACGCAGTGAAAACATATCATATAAGAATGAGCCGATCAATTCAAAAGCTCGATACCCTAGATAATCAATATAATCAAACATCATTAAAACCATATATGTGTGTGTGTGATTTTGTGTGTTGAAAATTGAAAAACTATGTTCAATACCAAATTACGCGTCTCCGGGAAGAACTCAGGCTCGGATTCAGGCTTCGGAGGTTTGACTCGCTTAGCTCTGACAACAGTTCTTTTCGAGCCCTTTTTGGGCTCTTTGTTGGTCTCTTCCGTAGATTTATTTGGCACTGTGTCGGTCTCTTGCGTCGATTTGCTTGGCTCTTCACTGGCCTCTTCTGTAGATTTCTGGCTCGCCTTCCTCTTAGTACCCTTCCTCATTGTGTAGCTACAGCTTAGAGAGAGAAACAGATAGATGTAGAGAAGGAAATTAGGGTTCCGGTTTGGTCCGAATTTGAGGAGAGAAATATAGGGTTTGGGCGTGTAGCGTGAATTGTACGCGCGTTAATTCAACGCAGTCGAGAGAAGAAACAGACGCGATGAGGTAGGGTTCTAGAGAGAGAGAGAGAGGCGGGATTACATATATAGAGTGTGGTGGGTGATTGAATTATTTCAAATTTGAAAGGGGGGTTTTTGAAAATTTGTGTACGGACAGTGCTGAAATTTTGGGGACAATACGCTGTGTGCGCTATGTAGTAGCTTCTTTCTACAACCGATGCTTTTGTCCAATGGAAGTGAGCCATCTCATGGGTTCTAGAATATCCCGTGTACCATACCCCTAGGAGAAATTTTTAGATGTCTTGATCTATTTGCCACCTTATAGACTAATTTAATGAAGGAAAATACTTCTTACCATCTATGAGTAAATCATTCGCTGATACTATCTATTTACAAATGTATACATAATTTGTGATTGCAAAATAAAAAAAAATGATAAGACTTACCTACTAAGCATGTACAAATAATTCGTAATTACAAAATTAAAAAAATAATTAAAAAAAAAATTCTTTTTTGAATAAAATCAGTTAACCTCTTTAATTTCTTTATTTATCCCTTTTCAAATTTTGTAATTACATATTATTTATGCATTTATCAGTTTTATCAAGAAACTGATAAATAAAGATAATAACTTTTTTTTTGAATAAATTCGGTCATTTTTTCTGATTTCCTTATTTATCAGTTTCTTGATTTTGCCTTGCTGAAATTTTTAGATTTTATGATTTATTTGTCACTTGGTAGACTATTTAATGAAAGCCTTATGGGTAATTTTCTCAATCCCAAAGTCTATATAATCATTTCATAACGAGAAATGATAGGTATTTCGACCTCAATTGTCGACTCTTTCTCCAAATACAATGTGATTGGATCACGTTAGAACTCTTAAAAAAAATAATCCTGTAAAATAAATAAATAAATCTCGTAAATATTTATTTCTGTTGCCCAATCACGTTGTATTCAGAGGAGGAGTCAGTAATTGAGGTCAGAAGACCTATCATTTTTCTTTAATAATTTATCTACTCTTAAAATCTTGAGAATACGATATGGATACGACGACACGACAAATTTTAAAAAATTAGGACACGGATACGGACACGGACACGGACACGGTTGGGATATGCCAATAAAATAATATATATATATATATATATATATATATATATATATTCAAAATCCACAATACCATAAATCTAACCTCCCAAAAAAATACTGCAATAAAAGAAAAACTTCAATTAATTAAGAACAAAGCAAAGTTATCAACAACTTTACAGTTTACAGAAATACTTCAATTAATTAAGAACAAAACAAAGTTATCAACAATTTTACAACTTACATTTTACACACATCCACAAATATAATTGTTCTGATTTCTCTCTGTTTTTCTTGCTATAGTCTAAAAATTTATTTAATTCCAATACTAAAATAAATGAGTCAAATAAAAATAATAATACGGTATCCCTGGTATTATAAAATTTTCCCTACAATGAACAAAGAGTGATTAGGGAAGGAAAAAAAAAACAGAACAAAACAAAGAGTGGTTAATACTGTTCAAAATCAATTAAACAACACATAGTAAAAATATGAAGATGGATTTTTAATTTCTTTTTTCCTTTTTAGGAGAAGCTTTACATTATTCTTATCACTATTTTATTTTAGATGGGAGAGATTTTTATGCTTTCATTCTTTTTAAGGTCATTTATTCTCGGTACCCTTGTATTTTATTTGTGACTTTTCTCAAAACAGAATGACATTTAAGCTGCATGTTTTTATAAATAACTTTACCTTTTGAAGGATTTTTTAGTTAGTTCCTTATAATATAGTTTTAATGTCCCAGTGGACCCTGCTATAATTTGTTCTATTATTTATTTTTATTTACAAGAAACACATTTACAAACTCTCATCCTTGTGAAAACTTAAACATTAGACTTTCTACTCCCAAAAGTGAGATATTACAACCTAATAACAAGAAGTGATTATTCCCTTAAAACGTATTTTAAGATTTTTTATATTCTATTTATGATGCCTAGCTACCACATTATTTGTCGTCACACAATTTACTTCTCCATTACGGAGAATTGTGTGACAGGGAGAGAAGAGAAATGGATCGAGGCATCTTTAGAGAAAGAAAATGATTGAATGAAATGAATAGTAAAAAAAATAAAATGAATGGGTTGATATTTTTTTATTTTTTTTTCAAAAAAGGGAATGAGAGTTTTTATATATATATTTTTTACCAGATACACTCATTATCTAAATTCATTCCAAATTTCAATAGGATATAACAATTGATTTTTAAAATAATTGAATATTAAAATTGGTACTATATATTTGTAGGTAGTTTTTATTTCTTTCTACTCTCTTATGCTAAATTTGCTTCCGTTTTCGCATGACCATGGAGCTTATTTGTGTGAATTCTTATATATATATATATATATATATATATATACACATGACAACATCAATAAATATATGAAAGTTGTTACAAAAGAAAAAATAGAAGAGTAGACAAATATGGAAGTTGCTAGAAAGAGAAAGACCCACAAGAAAGCCAATACAAAGAGAGAGACCTTCCCAAAAAAAACTAGAGCCCATTTTGATTATTATTATTATTATTATTATTATTATTATATATTTTGTTATTTATTTTAGACATTTCAATGGCTAAATTGACCAAATGTCCTTATTTGCACAAAATGTAAAATGTAGGGGAGTTTTGCGAACAACAGAGAATTAATTACACATTTTGTATATTATAAGGAATTTTTTGCACTTAACCTTTTTTAAAATTATAAAGAAACTTGTGATTTAAACTCTAATTTTGAAAAACAAGTTTAAGAACTTTTTTAGCCTTGATCAAATATCAAAATCTAGGTACACTGATGTTTTCTAAGGTCTCATTTATCTCTAACCTGGATTTGTGATCAAGTCTTGGAGATATTTGTGTCCTATTGTCTTCGGTGCGATAAAATTGAAAATTTTTAGAGTCTATTTAAGTGTTAAAGTTTTTAAGGGGTAATTATTTTGAAATCTTTTTAAATTCTAACGTTCAATATTTAAGTGATAAATGATATCTCTTTTATTTAAAATTTTATCTCATTTTAAATAGCTTACCATTTTCAATGATATTCAAAGTCCGCCTTAATTTGATTATACATGAACAGTGATGACTTTGACCAACATTATAACCAAAATTTTTAGTAAGAATTTTGCTAATAAACTAACCGTGTATTACTTAGTAATATGTAATAGATGAATATATACAAATTGATTCATTTTGGAATATTTTTATTTGTACAATTCCTTAAAAAATATCTTTGGTCACCTTCGTTTTTTGAGGGCCCAAATTTCGTTTTTCTTTATATATTATAACCCACCTAAAAAATTTTATTTGGTTCCATACCTTTATTAGAGCTCAACCAATATAGAAAATTCAATACTTGGCTTAAAAGATGCCTGCCCTTGTCAACTCTTGTTTTTTTTCTCTCTCTCTCTCATCCTAATTGCGTTAGCCGTACATATATATTTATCCTCATTATCATTACACAAGTATTAAATATATATTTATGAAAAAAATATTAAGTATATATTTAACCAGTGAGAATGAGTGGAACTGTTCATATTCCTAAGAATTCAATTAACTTTTATCTTTCTCTTTCTCTTTCTTTTTTTTTTTCCTTATTACTCACATATTTTCCTCCTCTCTTTATATTTTTTTATCCAATTGAAGACTTTGTTTGAGCATAGGACCAAATTTTTCAAAATCAGTTTCTTTTATTCTATAACTTAAATTATTTAATACTTTTATTAAAAAATTTATCATAAAATTATATATTTTGTTTGTGCGTTGTCAACATGTCTATTGTAAAAGCATGAATCCCAAAATAAAAAACTTAAAACATAAAAACTAATTCAATGTAAATAAAAAATAAAATAAATTTGTTACAACTAATAATTAGAACATAGCAAAAAACAAAATTAGGTGAAAATTTAACAAATAAACAACTAAGTCATCTAAAGGAATCAAAAAATTATACGGTGAAAGAAAAAGATATTAATAATTTGATTCATAATGATAATCAAATGTATAGTAAGAAAAAATTTTATAAAGAAAAAAAAAATAGAAGAAAGTGAAACAAGTAAAACAAAAATGAATATCTTAATTAAGAATTATATTCTATTCCAACAAATATCTATGACCTTGAAATCTAAGGCATTTTTTCAGCTACAATTACCAAATGGAGAGGAGGGAAGCATAATAGAAAATGACTTGGGTATTCAAAAGATTTAAATAGGATGTTTTATTTTTATTGCAAGTAGTTTAATTTAAAGTATAACACAAATCAATTAATTAATGATGGAATTAGAGATTGAAAAAATTATAGTGCTAAATTTGAAAGTTAATGACCATATTACTAACATGAACGTATGGGTAGATTATATAATAAGACCACTTTATTTTTTCCGCCTAAGGCCTCAAATTATATTGAGCCGCCCTTGTCCTTTTCTTTTTCTTTTTTGTTAATTTGGTGTTGAAGATGCAAGAAAATGTTGTTCTATATTAAGAAAATATTTTCTTACATTCTAAACAATCTCCATTTCCTTCCTTCTCTAGCTTCTATTTACAGAAGCTTACATTTGCCTTAATTGTGACGCCCTGGTTTTACAAACTAGGTGCGTTTGTGATGACCCGATAACGGATCTGAAATGCGAAAGCGAAAAGCAAACCAAGTCTCTAGAGATGTGCGTCATCCCTATGGCATAAAAGTGGCCTCCTGTGAATCCACGGAACCCAAAAGGAAACCATACGCGGAAGCTAGGGTTTAAAACCAGGGCGGAGCCAGTATTTTAGTTCAGAGGGGGCACAATGCACTTGTTAAATTTTTTTTTTATAATAAATATGACAATATAATTTTTTTTAAATCAAAAAAACAAATAAGAAAAAAATAGTTGTAAATTAATATGCTAAATAAATACCGTAAAAAAAATATAATTACAAATATAAGAATCAAAAAATTAATTAATAATATTTTAAATAAATACAATCACAAATGTCATCGATAAAAAGAAATAAGTGTAAAAAAATAGA